AAAACATCTAGAAATAAGTAAAAAATGGCTTAAATTAAGTGTACTTACCCTTAATTTGAGCAGGTAAATAAGATTATCTGCCAATGGAATGAGTATTTTTACTACTAATACAAGATAATTAGATAATATACACTTGAAATAAGACAAAGCAATAGTTTTTTTCTTATTTTAAATTTAAATTGTCTTGTTTCATTGGCAAAGTGTCTCACTTATCTCCTCAATTCAAGAAAAAATGCACTTAATTTTTTGCAGTGTGGGACACTTTACTCACCTGCTCTTGTTTTAACTTTAAATTGAATTGTTTGCTGGCCAGTTGCCAGGTTTTCCAAAGGTTAGCATTAACTTACCAGTCTAGAAGGAATTTGGAAACTTCCCCATGACACAAAAGCTCAAAAGCTTGACGGATTTTCATCCTCGTTTTGCTTTGTTTTTTTTGTTTTTTTTTTGGGCTTGAACCTGAGAAACGTATGGTGAAGAAGAAGCCATTTTTCTGTGCTGTCATGGAGCTTCTAGGATGTGGCAATATCTGAGATCCACCTACTGTTCCTACACTACAAAAACGATCTAAAAATTAGTAAAAATGTCTTAAATCAAGTGTATCTACTCTTAATTTAAGTAGGTAAATAAAATGATTTGCCAATGGATTGAGTATTTTTACTCTTAAAATAAGATAATTAGATAATATGCACTTGAAATAAGACAATATAATAATTTTTTCTTATTTTAAAAGCACAGTTTCTTCTTCCATTGGCAAAGTTTCTCACTTACCCCCCGTAATTCAAGAAAAAATGCACTTATTTTAAGGAAAATAGCACTTATTGAGATTTTAATTTTTTGCAGTGTATAGTTTCATCCTTTTGAATCAATGTTGCCATTAAAACTAAGCTCAATTTCTACATATTTTGGACCCGTCAAAATGTTTATAACAATTATTTATAAAATAAAATAATAATTGAACTTTATTGCTCTCATTTACCTCCGCATTTAAGTGGGCTGCCATTGTGCGGCGCCGGCGGAGCAATTGGGGATTTAGGGTTGTATACTTCTTTTTTTATCAAATTAATAAACAAATACAGTAAAATACCGATTGCATGAAAATGAAATGAAAAAACTTTGGTTGTATTTATGATTTAAGGACTTATTGAATTCCACATAACCTTTTCTAAGTTTTAACTATAATCAGTTCAAATGGAAATAAGGATATTTAATAATATATAGATGATATGTGAATTCACAACTAGGGATGCACGATATTGGGATTTTGGCCGATATCCGATATGCCGATATTTTAAAACTCATGTAGCCGATAACCGATATCGATACCGATGTTAAAGCTGCAAAAATAAGTAGTCATTGAAAATAGCAGTTTTGTTATCCATTTCTGACACTTTGAAAAATAATATACTCAAATATATTTTCATATGCTGATATCAAATTGATTTTTAAAAACGCGGTATCGATCTATTTTACTTTCAAAATCTCGTGAAATTTCATTGTTTTGTTACAAACTCTCGTGATATTTGGCAAATTCTTGTGAGATTTTGTTAGTAAAATAGATCGATACCGCGTCAATATATCAACATATAAAATTATGACAAAATTTCGTGAATTTTCGGGGGATTTCGTAGCATAACGATGACATATAACAATATTTCATTAGTAAAAGAGATTGATATGGTGTTTTTAAATGGCAATATATCAGCATATGAAGATATTGTGATATTTTAATGTATCAATATTTTTTCCCTCGTCTTTAGAAGTTTTTAAGTCTGTAAAAAAGAAGTTTTTCAGGAAGAAGAAGTATTATTTTTATTTTTATTTTATTTTTTTTAGACTTTAGAAACTCAGAAGCTGATCAAATATCGGGTGGGGTGGCCAATGTCCGATATTCAGTTTTAAGGCCGATACAGGCCGATACCGATAGGGGGCCGATTATATCGTGCATCCCTACTTACAACCCATATTTTTGGGCTCATTCTTAAATATTGTCAGTTTAATGGCCAGCCTCAGGAACGCTTTACAAATATATGAGTTTTTAATGAAGCAGCAGCCGGTTCAGTTGAGATGTTGTAGAGGAGCTTTTGGATTTTGGTTGTGAGATTGGAGACGTTGCTAATTCCTGACAGCCTGTAAAGCTGAGAAGAAAACTGTAGTAGGAGATGAATTGCTGACAGCCATTCATCTTTCTCCTCTTCCTCCATCTCTTAATTTGCTCACCCGGCTGCTCAGAAGAGGATGTAGTGATGAAGAGCGAAGCATTTAGAGTTACTTGGATGCACTGATCTTGTCAGCTCAAACTGAGTGTGATGAAAGCCAACTTGTCATTGGAAGGATTTTACTTCACAGCTCAGACAGGCCTGAAGCAGAGTTCTCCCACTGTGCTCCCCTCCTTCAAAATTGGCTTTTTCACTGGCGTAGTTTCCTTCATTTGCAAGCTCTCTGCTTGCAGAAAATAAAAGTCTGCAGACTGTAAATACTCGCATACAGGGACTGCAGTTTAGCATTTTGCCTGTTTTTAAATAAAATTAAGAATTCAATAGAGGGGTTCTAAAGTCTTGGGCTGTGTCCGAATGTCCGCTCTAACCCCTAAATCCCTCAATCACTATATAGAGCGGGGACTATATAGTGGACTTTATAGTGAACTCAGTTAACTGACCGTTTAGACATATGATCACTACTTTTTGCTCCCCTTTGGTCACATAAATTCGCCTCCATTAAGCGGCGCCTGCGCCATCTTTGTTATTAGTCACCGCCTATGGCAACAGCGGGCCCCTGTGACAACAACGCTTTGCGAGGAGAGCTGTCCGTGCGAAGCGTTCCAGGATATATCTGCTCGTCTAGTGACCATGAATGGTCACCACTTTTCAAGGTGCAATGTGAGAAATTTTGAGTCCACTAGTTTTTCATCCACTAGATGTTTGGACACTCATTTAAAATGGAGTAATCACTAATTAGTGCACTATATAGTGATTAGGGCAGACATTCGGACACAGCCATGGTATCTCTAGCCAATAGACAAAAACATCAATAAAGGGCTGAACAGTTTGTTTGATATATTACATGAAAAACAAACCAATAAAACAAGATGTAAGTTTAAACCTCATCTTTTTTTTTTAAATAAAATTATTTTTGGAGATAATTTATGCTAAACATTTGTCATGAGGCAGTAAATGTGTGATAAACTGTAACAATTCTGTAGCAACAGGCAGTTCCTGCTTTGGTTTGCCCGCTAGGAGCTGTTATTTTAGCAGTTTTCTGTTAAAATGTAGTTTCTTATAGTTTTATCTGGACTTGAGCAGACCTTAAAAACCAGCTTAATTGCATTCTGATTTGTGGAAGACAAAAAAAAAAATCATATTTTACTGCTTATAATAATAATAAATAAACTTTATTGATCTCACACTGGAGAAATTCACCATTCAGCATATCCATCCCCTTGGGGAGCAGTGGGCTGCCATTCTGTGGCATCCAGGGAGCAGTGTGGGGTTAAGGGTCTTGCTCAGGGACCCAGAGTGGAGGCTGTGGGGATCAAACCGGGTACTTGCAACCTTCTCAGATCACAAGCGTTCTGCTCTAACCCACTAGGCCAACACCTCCCCAAATGATCAAAAAATGATTGTGAAAATCTTTAGAAAAGTTAATTATTGTCTTATTTGCTCAGGCTTGAATAGTTATAGAACACTAGACTCATGTGGTTTGGACTAGAAGAAAGTTTTAAATACAAAACATCCAAAAAAACTTTTTTAACTTTTTGGAAAAACTGTCATTTTAAGTTTAAGTCATAATTCATGTTTTTTAAACATCAGATTTATGTTTTTTCCTAACAAAAGTGTCTTTATGAGAACTACATTAGTTCAGAAACTGTTTTTGTTTTGTTTTTTAACAGCAAATTAAACTGATGTCCTTAAATGAACAATAAACGATAATTCCACCTTAAATATAAAATGACTTTCTCCTTTTTAAACCACAATGTGGTTCCATAAAGTTTTCATCTTTTAATGAATTAATTTAGAAGGAAATGCATTAGATTCATTTTAATGTGGACTAAGTTTATTTTCTTTGAAAATCTAGTTTATTGAATTGAGAATTACTAAAAAAAATACTTTTTTTAGTTTAAAAAAAAGATTTGTCTCCTTCATGTCAGACAACCAGGTCTTTAAGCCACAGAGCAATTTAACACAGATTTACATTTATATGGGAAACATTTTTAACAAGATGAAATTTTTACTGAAATTTAATTATGTTTTTATATGTTTCCCATGTGAAATGCAAAACACTAACCAGTGGTTCTATTTAATTTATAAATTTTTTTGCACAACAAATAAACATGATGCATTTGTTCTCCATTTTAATGTAATGCATTAGTCATTGTTGCATGACATGAATTCCCTGTGGAATGCTCTTAAGTCTGATTTGTAACCATTAACGTTAATTCTTAACACTCGTTTTAACTCTTGGCATGATAGAAAACTGTAGCGATGCGAGAGGCAGCAGGGAGGACAGCAGAGGCGAAGCCCATTTTTAAAATGACAGAATGTGATGTATGGCTTCAAAGCTTCTTCCAATTGTGTCTGAGCTCAGCTGAGTCCAGATGGCATGTAATCCTCTAGTGTATTGTAGTCTGTGTTGTAGGCTATGCCTCAGTCTTTCCCTCCCTCCAACACTGTGTCTACTGTACCGGCCCTGTGTCACTTCACATCAGCATTCATTGTTCCTGGAAAGTAGCTGTGACATCCATGTACTCCTGCTTGATGTCTGGCTAGGATAGTGAGCTCAATCCCATTATGTGTGAAATGCATTCAGTTCCAGGAGCGAAAACAACAAATTCCTTCAAAGCATTTTGCATGTTTTCACCCCTTTTCTTTCTTAGAGGAATTAGAAGAGAGAAAAAAAGCTCTGAGCAGACAGTTTAGCAGTGAAAGGAGAGACTTATCGATGCTAAGGGAATCTCCCGTTTTCTTTCACTTTCTTCCGCTCACTCTTTTTGTTTCCACCCATAGAGGGAAGACGGTGAAGGATGAAAACACCAAAGCCGAGACGGAGGTGAAGAACGCCACGACTGAGGTGAAGACGGTTCCCAACGAGGCTCCTCAGGCAAACGGCAACGAAAGTAAAGCGTAATCACCGCCTCCCGGAAGCAGGGAGAAGAAGGACGGGGAAGGGGTGTAGTTTGGATTGGGAGAGTTTGGGGGAATGGGCTTTACAGGTTAAAAGCTGGGCTGGTCACAGTCACTGAAACTTCAACACAATTTCACACACCATCCCACTGCATTAGAAACAGCAACTAGGAAAAAAAAATTAAAGTGTCTGCTGGAAAATGACCAGGTACAATAGACATAAAAGCCTTACTTTCTTTTACACCCATTTAAATCAGTCATTGTAAGGAATAAATATTCATGCATCCATTTCACCAATTGTCTGTTAACAGCAGAATAGCATCTGTAGTATTTTATCTAGATAAAGTTGGTTGAATTGTAGCTTTACTTCACAGATTTACTGCCTTTAAGATGCACACAAATGTAAGACCGACTCTGCTACTCGTCATTATGGGGTTATGGATTTGGGTCTTCTTTTTTTACATTTTTATTTTTGTTTCCGTAATGTTCTGATTGCCGCTTTAGCTGTTTTTAATGTCTTATTAAGCATGTGGGGTTTTTTTTGTTTGTGAAGTTGCTGTATTTCTGTACATTCGTATGTAATCGGGTTTGCTTCGTTTTTTCCTCTTACCTGCGTTTCACTTCATCTCATCTTAAGTCCCAAAAACTGAAAAATTTTCGTGCAAAGTATTCCCCTTGATGTTAATACTGACTGCTTTTTGTTTTTTGTCTCCTAAAAATTTTCTTTGCGTACAGTTTAGACATGGACCAATCAGAGGTTTTTACAGCCACTGATGATTTTAGCAAGCCAGTTTTCTCCTGATTAACTACAGTTATGTATTCCAAATATTGCTTCATGTTTTTCATGCCATCATGTTAAATATAAAAGACTAACATCTCTAAATTCAGTACGACTTTTGTCCAAAGGAGAATGTTGCTAGTTTACCTTACTACACATTTGACGCTGTAACAATTACTCTTGGATCACCCCATTTGCACACTTGCCAAAAGAATTGCAAGTTCTGCAACTCTTGTGTCTTGTAATCTATAAGGCATTGCATCAATTAACCGATAAGGATATTACTTAAGCTCATGCTAATATAAACAAACCCCCTAAGTTATATTGGGACGATGGTTGAAACTGAAAGTAAAACTGAATGCATTCTGATTAATTCTATGGCTTGATGCACAGAAACCCAAATTTAGCCCCATAAAATGTGCATTTTTTTATTAATGCCATCTTAGTAAATTTGAAAGAATAACATCTCTGAATTCAGTATGATTGATGTTGAATGCTCAAAGGCAGTGTATTTTTTTTTAACTCCGTTCCTCAAGGCGCACTGCTCGGCACTGCCCGGCTTCAGCATTACTGGATTTCAGCTAATGGCCAATTAACTAGCTTTGCTGAGCTGCAGTCATTGAATCTGTTGTCTTTCAGCCTTTATTCTACTGTAATCTCTGTCAGGCTTTAAAGGTAGCTGCAAAAAAGCTTAAAATTTGTTCTTATAACTGTTGGGCTTACTCTAGCCTCATTTTTGTCCCCTTTCTACTGCAGCAAAGCCCACTTTGGTCCCTCTTACCGTAGGTACACTTGGTAGTACAAAGATATTAGTTAATCTATTGAAAAATTTATGGATTTTGAATCACTAATTTGATTACTAGCTGTTTTTATGTTTGCAAATTTCATTTTTTTTACTGGCTTCTTGGACTTACTGCATGGTGGATCTGGTTGCCTTGCAGTGTTGTGAGCTGTCAGTTCTTTCAGTGATTAAATTTACGATTAAAATGCAGATTCTTGGGTCCTTTTTTTATGCTTTATCATAATATTTCTGTCATGGGCAGGTCTTTTATTTTGAAGAAAACAAAGTTAGAACATAGAAGGTTTTGGGTGGTTTCCATAAGGATTGAATTGTTATAGATCATTGTAGAGTTGTCAGCGCTTGCATGTTCGCCTGTACACAAACTTAATTTTTAGGAGACAATGTTTTGTTTCTTTTCTTTAGATTAGTTACAAGTTTCATTCTTTTTATGAACTTTTCCTATTAAATTCTGATGTTGATGTCCTAAACTGTCTTCATCATTTCTGAGGTATCCCTAAAACCAACCTTAATAATCAAATATTATGTGGCCAAATATATTGGGGTTAATCGATAAACATGTAGAATTGAGACCAATAAAACTCAAGATAAAGAATTTCAATAATAGGAGTCTGACTTTAAATTTATTGGTTCATTTCATTTTAATACAAATGTATGGGGTAAAAAAAGGAGAAAAAAATAGGTTCTCAAAAATCGAGCTAATTTTCAACAAAAAGGTTTGTGCATCATCATTTGTTCGTTGAAAAAATGTCTTTCTCTGATTCGGCTTTGTGCATTTTTCTTATCAAATACAACAGTTTGCAGTAGCAGTAATTTTTGCTTAAAAATATCCATAAATATGTTTGTAACTTTAGGTGTTAACTGATAGATCTGGGTGAGTAGCAGCCAACAGCAAGATACACAGATAATTTCCATTAATTAATTTAAGCAATACAAATGATTAATTAATATTTAGACCAACTATCTTCCAAGTCTTATATGATAAAGATGAGTAAATGTTTTTTTTTTTTAAACAATATGTCTACTTTCTGTATCATTCTAAATTATATGTTAATAGAGGAGTCAAACCAACACCTGAGGTCTATTACCTGGGGACTCTAAACTCAACTCTATGTCAATTTGCTCCGGTTAATCAGTTTGATTTGTGACTTTTCATTCATTCAAAGCCAAATTTTACATCTTTAATAAAGATTTCTGGTTTTTATTTCTATATTGTTTATTTTATAAACTATCTCCACAGCCCTGATTCATAAATATAAATATATTCTGCAGGTGTGCTACCATACTATTGCATTTTCATGTTATCAGAAGATATTTTTCCAAATGAGAATATTGCAGGTTTACCTTACTACACTTAGCACTGTAATAATTCTTGGTTCACCCTATTTGCACACTTACCATAGATTATTTTCATATGCCAAAAGAATTGCAAGTTCTGCAACTTTTGGTCTTGTACTGTATAAGGCACTGACACAGATGGGATTTTCATATTGCATCACGTAACCGATAAGGATATTATTTAAGCTCATGCTAATATAAACAAACCCTTTAGTCATATTGGGACGATGGTTGAAACTGAAAATAAAACTGAACTCATTTTGATGAATTATATGGCTTGATGCAAAGAAACCCTAATTTAGACCCATAAAATGTGCATTTTTTAAATACTATGATTAAGACCTTCTTTTCAGAGCCTTTTTCTACCTATGGGAACATTTCTGACCTCACAAGGTTTAAGTTCTGTTCTTGTTCTGAAAATCCGAGCTAAAGGTGAGGATGCATCAAGACAGAAAGTTGGGATTTTAATCCACATTTTTTTAAGCACACAGCTCACACGATAGTGATTGCAAATTAATCCTTTTACTATAACTTAGCATTCAGCTCCTCACACTTTTATAGAATTTAACTTGAAGATTAGACATGTGCATCTGCTGTCCTGATCAATCTAAAAGGCCTTGCTGGAAAATCTCTAAATCTGTGGTCTCTTCCTCTTGGCCTGATTTACTGCTCTGGTGTTTTATGTGCATTCCTGCTTCAGCAAAACTCAATCAAAGTAGAAGAAAGTCACCAGGCCTTTTCCAAACCCGATGACAGGCTTTATAGGTTATGAATCATTTGATTCAGCTCTGTTAAATTAGGGGTGTGTCAAAAAATGTGCACGGTGGTAGATCTTAAGGACTAGAGTTGGAGAACCCTGCTCGAAATTTTAAATTGTTAAAAATTCAATAAGATAAACTTTTTCAATCTAAACTTTACAAATGAACCCTTATGTTTTTGATATCTGACAAGTAAACAACACTGTAAATATGATGAACTATTAGGTGATCAGTTTATTTAATAGTCTGCTTTCCCCCAAATGTTCTAACATTTTGTCATTCTTTGGATTTTCTACCCTTTTGTTTTGAATTTTATCCACAAAGGGACACAAAATGTGTCACTAGCAGTTTTATGAAACATGAACTTTGCAATATTTCTGATTTTAAATGATGAAAGTCTTTTTTATCATTTTAACAATGAAGCACCCCTTCAGAATTATTTCATTAATAATGCATGCAATTTTTTTTTATACGTTTAGTTTTGCTGTGACATTGTTAAAGTGAGATAGAGAAGCCCGTTGTTCATAATAAAAATGAAAAACATGAGAGAACTTGTCTTCTAAGCTAGGCTACCAAACCCTGTTCTCCCCATAGCAACAGAGATCTGGTTAAAAAAGTATAAAACTTTGAAATTCTTTCCAAAATTCAATGTTGACATTTTAAGAAAATACATAAAACAGATTTTCCTCAGTGAATAAATCTGCCCAAACTGATGGTTGGACTTTTCATTTTTTTTTTTTACAAAGAGAGATAATGTGCATCTGCAGGTAAGGATTGTTTAACAAGCCAACGAATAAAAATTCACTTCAATCATACTTTTTAAATCCAAAGGAATTTTTTTATTTTTTTTTTTTAAACCCCAATCAAAACTAGATATGATTGCTGACGTGTTCACGTCCAAAATATAAAATTTTCAACATTTGAATTCTTAAAATTAGTTTCCCAAAAACCTAAGAAAAGGTGAATATATGATATCTGGGTGTCTTTAAGATTTTGATTAAATCAAAGATCTCTTAAAAGGTGATACATTTACACCCATACTTAGAAATACATTTGGTCTGTTTATTGTAAAAGATCTCTTCTAAAAAATGAAATTTGAAAAGTTAAAAGAGATCAGCAGAAATCCGACCTCCTTATTATGTAGAGTGTTGCTTCCATCATAGACTGGGATCTACATCAGCGTGAAGTGTAAACACGTTGTGCCCACTGTGTTGTAGACTTTAGTTTTATTGTGAAATCATGTAGCTGATAGTGTGGAGTGAAACTGCTGGCAGCAGCATAGAGGTGCCAGGCAGCAGCAACTAGGACAACTGAGTGCCTTTGAAAGCAAAAATGGACGACATGCATCCCTTCCTATCAGTTCCTATGTTACAAAGTTTTCCATTTTTATTCTTCTGTCAGTTTCCTTCTTCCAATACAAAAAAAACCGAGCTGTAAATGATGCTTATTCAAATTTCACATATTTACTATATTATTCTGGTTCCTTTTTATGTGTTATTGTTTTCTTCTTGAAATGTAATCTTGATTCAAAAAATGATTATTTATGCAGATTTGTCATTCTATTTCTTTGATAACAAATCTTTCACTGAAAAGCGTAAAAATTTCCTTCACTGTTCTGAATCTTGCAAAAACAAACCAATGAAAAGGATCAAAAGAAAACATTTAACACTCGAATTTGCATCACATGCAAACTGCAGACAAAACAAGGACATGGAATTTAAACACATGCTCAAAGGATTAGCTATGTCTGAAACAGCGTGTTTTCTAAGAGAAGATTTTGTTTTCACATGCATTTCTTTATGTTTATCAAGTGTTTGTGTAGCTTGCTATGCTCTCCCAATCCTAATAAAACAAACAAACAAAATGCTGTTAGAAAAGGGAGGAATAACTACATTGTTCTTGCCTGAAATTGTGTGGAAATGTAAAATTAAAAACACAATATAACTTGTTTTCCTTTTTCTTACCTTAGAGTTATGTGTTTTTTTTCTAAATCAGCTAGAGCTTGTTCAGATTTTTCTCACATGCAACAGTAAGATTTGCTTCTGTTTATTTTATTTTATTTTGGGAATAAAAAAATAAGGAAAATCTACTGCCAAGTTCCTGTGCCTCACAACAGCAAAAATGATTGGTAACATCAATCATGCTCGGAAAAGCTGGTCACTGTCATTGATCAGAACTCTCTGTTCTCCTGCCTTTCTCTCTGTAAACAGCAGCCTGGAAAGCTTTTCCTCTGAGTGTCTGTTTGTTGACTTTTTCCTGGTGTAAATATGGAATACTCACAGAGGAATGAAGGAAAACACATTTTGACTTCACAATCTGTCAGAAATGTTTGTGTTCAATAAAGTTAAAGGGAAAAAAACAGACTAGCGTTGTGAACACTTTTTTTTTTACAAATATATTTGATGGAATCAGAATGAAGAATTCAAAGAAATGCTGCGAAGTCTTAACCTGACTCCGCCAGATGGATTTGCTCCGCATATCCATCTGGAAACATTCTGTTGGAAGAAATTTTGGGAAGGGGCAAAAATACTGGTTAGCTGATTGGCCTATGTTGGTGATAGACGGGCCAAATAAACCAATCAGATCAACGAAGCATATGACGTACTAACAGCCAGGCTACTCTTGCCGAAACCAGTCGGGAGAAGAGCAAAAACATCTTTTCCTCTGAGAAAAGCCTCCAGAGCAGTGTTTTGTTCTTCTTTCAGTGAAGAAATACTCTGTAATTCCGATAAAACTTGCTCGATAGTCACGCTAACGCTAGTTTCATCGGCTGAAGCCGCCATGTTCTTTAGACTGAACTGTCGCGCTTCTCGTTGCGTCACACCTCAACCCGCCTCAAAGCCAACGCTGATTGGATGTTCGTTTGGTGAACGGCTCCAAATTTTCTTTAACGGAGAGTCTCCAGACTACGGCAGAGGATTAGGGCCACTGGAAAAAAAAAAAAAAAAAAAAAAGGTAACTGTTTTCTAAATTTAATTTCAGAGTTCTGACTTTTTTCTCAGAATTCTGACTGAATTCTGACAATAAAAAAAGTCAGAATTCTGAGAAAAAGTCAGAATTCTGAGATTAAAGTCAGAATTCTGAGAAAAAGTCAGA